TCAATCAACACTCTCATGGACCTATCAGGCGATTTTACACGAAAACGAGACCAATTTGGAGCAAATCCGGTGCCGATAGTTATAATAATCGTGATAATCAACTTTCAGGTACCCTCCCCTTCAAAAAGCGAGAAAATGGAGTCGGGTGCATACAATGCACCACAAGTGACGACGGCCTCCACAAAATGTAAATGTTTTCTGCCAATGAAATGATTAGCTTGTTTAGCGGCTCCCAGACAATACTTATCCATTTGGGCGCGGCCGCGGCGAACGCGGCCGAGTTGATGGGTGCCCGCGAACTCAGACAGGCACCTCGAAGTTCGCGAAGCAATTCTATTCTACCGATTGTCACTAATTACAACTATCATTCACCAGAAATCAGCTATCACTATGAACAACTTCGGGTCGTCTGGCGCGGCGGGCGGCATGTTTGTCTGACGCATATTCACTAAGAAACAAAATGCATGTTAAAAAGTGCAACGCCTTCTTAACAGCGCAAACAAAACAGAACATGTAAAGATCCAAAATTCATCTAAAGCTTCAAAGGAAAGTACTCTCAACAAAATAAGGCCCTATGGCAAGAGATGCGTGTATACGACGACAACGCATTAAGTAAAACCGCGCCAATGATTGTTTTTTTGTTTTCAAAAAGGGAGTAAGCTTTCGTGGGGGAAGGGGAGACTCCGAAGCGAGTGAGTGGTTTTCGTATTTTTCGTAGCTCTTGCCCACCCCTCGAGGCTTGGTTCTAGCAGAAGCCCGATATCTTGTGGGGTGCCCCTTTTTCTGGATGTGGAAAAAAAGAAAAGAGGTAGGGCAGAAAATAGGTCAGATCTTTCCAGAATACGTCAAGGTTCTTAACATGTCTTTGATTTGCTGAGTGAGAGCCGCCGTATATGTTACTAGCTCTAACATGTTCTCTTTTGTCAATAGCAGTTGCCGCGCCGTCGGCCAACAGACCCACAACTTCTAACCAGATTAGAAGCCGTCGTCAGTTGTGGTGTTTGATCCGCACCCGACACTTTTCGCTTTGAAGGGGAGGTTACATACACTCGCACTGTGTTCTATCGCACCTACATATATATACTTACTACATAAACGCAGCGGTTCGAGAGAAATCGTCACTTTTGCGGTGTCTCTCCTCCACTAGAAACGGCCTCTTGACAAGTAACGACCATGGAACATCTACGGCTGATCGGTGAATCAGCCAAACAATACATTCAAGACAGTCAAAGCAACAAAATCACACACAAAGTTGGACCATAAAGACAAGAATTTCGGATACACTGCTCGTGCCATGTTTTGTGAAAATAAATAAATAAAAATGAGAGCAGTCTAAAGGAGGACTTGGAGCCATTTCGGCAATGCGACCTCCCCCTCCGCAAGACGAATAAAACTTCCTCACCACCTTCCGATCGTTAATGGTGTAAACAGTATTTTCGATCCTAAGGTATTCGAATATTCCCTGTTCAGATCATATCCGCCTACGACCCCGAAGGGCTGAAGCTCCCCAATTTACCCCACCAAAGCAGCGCCTTTTAGTTACTGCTACCGCCGCCCTTAAAATTAGCATTCGTTTTCAACATTTACGCTTGATTTCCATTCACCGCAAAATGCTCCAATAAAGTGATCGCGGAAGCGCCTCTGCTTTCACATTCTGGATCTATCAATCGAATATAAGCAAAGTGAACGCATCAGCAACTTGGTAAAAGCTTGAAATAGGTGCAAGGAGACAAAATCAAAAGAACTCACCTGAAGGGTTGCATTCATGAAACACGTATTACCCATGTTATAAAGACCAGTATAACCAGGTCGCTAAAAACAACTTCGTTATATCAAAAAGGAGCACAAAGCATACCAAAACAAATAGCAGAAAATTAGCTTACCGGACTGCTACGACGGTTTGAGCTACCTTCTGTGGAATCGCACATACTATTATAAATATCCAATAATTGTTGCTCCTTGTCAATACTTAAAACAAACAACAATAAATCATTTCACGGTCTCGAAAGAACAAGGAAATGCACAAATCTCAAAAACATCATCCATACATCGAATTCACCACACGGAACATTGAACTATTCATTTTACTCATACCTTACTAGAACAGGTTTAGTACTACGATCAGGAAGTCGAGGTTGTGAAGGATGAGCATTACTGAAAAAGACATTTGCTAAATATTCTTAAACTAACCTAGAAGTCATAGCTCTTAGAGAGTAAATAAAGTTGGTCAGCCGGGAGAGGTTGAAAAAGCACGCATACATGAACCGTGTATTCTAAGAAATGACTATAAAATGAATATCGGCTGCCAACTCTATCAATCCCAAATCAATAATCAACACTTCCACACTTATTGACATGTTAAGCTCGTTGAAATACAAAACAATAGCAACGAACAATTGCGAGGAGCTAACTCACGTTTTCGATACAGGAGCAATACGAACAGCTTCTATTCTACTCTCTTGAGCGGCATCGTAATGCTAGAATTCATTCATTTGATTGATAAAATCAAAAATAACAAATTGGAAATTTAGGAGATTTACTGGCGCTCTGAGACGAATAAACTTTACCTTTTACAAAGAGGAAAAATACGCAAAAAACTGCTCAGACTTTAATTTTTGAAAAATTTGAAAATTGAGATTGAATAGCAGGAGAACAACGAGCATATCACCATTCAACAAGTTTACCTGATTTGGTTTGTTCGATCTATCAACCATAGGCAGCCGAGGAGGTACCGATGGAGGTGGCCCAACAGATACTGATGGATGATATCCTATATATGAATTCCTTTACTACAAAGTAGGGCAAACCTAACAAATTCAGTAAAATTTACCAGAAGCAACTGGCTGTGCCACACCTGGATCATGCTTGGAAGTTTCAACAGGTGACAGCCGTGAAGGTGCCTGCTGTGTGGGAGCTACGGGACCTGAATCAAGCCAAAGTTTGATTGCACCCCTCTTCAGAGAAACATATTCCCTATACCTGTGCTCTTTTGGTTAGTAGAGAGTGGGGGTGAGGTAATCGCTGACATATCACCGTCACCTGCAGCTTTTGGAGACACCGTAACTGATGACGCTGAAACAATAAAGAACAAGATTGAGTTTTTTAAGAATATTACTGGTAGATAAGAGAAATTACATTAACAAAATAGACTTTGCTACTCACCAGCAGCACTACTCCGAGGTGCTGACGGTGCCTCCTTGACAGACGATGTGGATACTGCCGAGTCATGAGCAGAGAAGGTTGTTTCCATACGCTTAGCGCTTTGCACTGCGAAAAAGACAAATTTCTGTCGTAATCGCACTTTCCGACACTCAAAAAGATAAATATCAACGAGTGCGTTGATATTCAGCATTTTGAAAGTGTCAGAAAGTGCGAAAAGAAGGAAAAGCTATGATCAGGAGAACTATGGGATAAGAAAATCATGAAGCCGAAAAACCGGGAACGTGAAGAATTCATGAAAAAGATTGCACGCATATTGGTCAATTCAGTTCTTTTATTTAACACATATCTTATCACCCACGAAACGTACTCATCGACCATCAGGTGATATGCATTCAAGCTTTTTCAAAGATCCGGTACGGATATTAGATATTAGTATATTCAGTTGCGAAGATTAGATACGTATTGATAAGGGTGAGAAATTAGAAAATCAGGTGCCATCAGCCGAATCAATCAAGGTATATCTAATCATTTCAGCGCAATCTCCTAACCTATTCTTCTGAGCTGCTACTATCATACTATTCCACTCTACTAATCCACAACTCTCCTACAATGGCTGTCTCGTCTTTTCAGCGGAATATCTACTATCCCAATCTGAGAATCTCTTAACCCCCTCCCCGCCCTCGTGAACTATGAACACGGCATATGGTAAGGGTTGGAGTTGGCGCGTCACCATCATTCAATTAGGTAAATAGGCAAATGTTTTCAAATACTCAGAGGAAAGTGAATTTGAAGAATATGCATGTCATTGCTTACCGCGTGAACGCCTATCCGTGCAATTGATATGCATTAGTTCAACTCGCCTCTTCACCTGAGTAAGAAAAACTCGAATGTTAACCCAGAACTCACCATCCACGTCCTCAGCTCTTATCACAGTAGCGTTTGGTAAGTGTTTCAATGGCTGGTTTTGTATATCAGCAGGAACTACGCCATTAATCGCTGTCGCAACGCGAGGTTGTTGAGAGGATGGACGCGGTGGCGACAGGTCAGGGTAGTCCAACATCAAGCAGGCTAAAATCTCCGACATTAGAACCAAGTAATGTATTTTCTAATTTGTAGAAAATATACCTCTCTTGTAGTTTATGACCATTTGATCCAATTGATCTTTGGGTTCGTTTCTTTTCAAAGTACCGTCACTTTTAGTATACACTGGATACTGATCCCGCCAGTTATCGAATCCACCATCCATAAAGAGCAACGGGGACTTCGGTCTGTGTTCATGGTTGTACTAAACATGAAACCGTTTGGAACTCCAACTTGCAACTACCACTTTTGAATGCTGTTTCAAAAACCAATACCTCATACAAAGCCATGGAGAGTAAATGAGCTTTTGATCCACGCACTGGCTGCCCATTTCTGAGCTCAACATCAGCGTCGCTCATTAGTACCACAAGATCGCACGATCCTATACGATGAAGAAGAGGTCGCTGGCCAACTTCCAGCTGATTTCGTAGC